GGCGCTTCTGACTCACAGCCTGTAAGTACGTTTTCATATTTAAAGGATTTGCCACTGAAGATTCAAACGGGAGTTTTGAGCAATGTAGAGTAGCGCTTGTTGTTTGTCATTTCTCCGATCACAAATGCAGACATGGTTTTATGTTTACGCGGCGCGATATGAAACGCAACGCGTAAAAAGACAGTATAAGTCATTATAATCAGTAATTATGTCCCCACTGGATGCAACAAATGCCTCGTTTATAATGGGTTTTATTGTTTTTGTCTTGTCGCACCGGGACATGGCATCACAGTATGGTAAGGGGCATAACATTTCCGTCACACGCTTGAGGAATTCGGCCAATCACAACGCACTGGATAGCTGGCCAATCAGCGTATACCTCGCTTTTCAGAACGATGAGCTTTGTAAAAATCGACACGTTTCAGAAAGGCGGAGCATGGAGGAGCAACAATAATGTACATTATGTGGAAAATAATGTGTTTTTTTAACCTTAAACCGCATAAACACATTGCATTACACCAAATACACCAAATAATGTTCTTTTTAGCAACGTCATATGACCCCTTTAAATAAGAGAGACATGCAAAATCTGCAGAGCAGGGGGTCGCCAGGACTGGAATTGAGAACCACTGCCTTAACAGAAATGTTAGCTCCCTCTAGTGTCAGTTCCAGAATCTACCGAAAATATGCTTTCTATTGTCAAATATTTTTTCAATGAATTCTAGAATAAATATTCCAATTATTATTATTTTATTTTATTAAATGGCACACATTTTATATATGTCCAGTTGCTGTCATTACATTGTATTCTATTATTTATATTTCGATTATATTTGTGATTGGCTACCCTGCTCTACGACTGACCACTGTGAACAGTACAGAGACTTAAGTTAAGGTTTGATGCTACTGTGTGTGTAACATACTGTATGTCCGTCTAAGGTATGTAATGTATTGGAGAGTCTGGAACTGGAGTACAGGAGAGAGGAGGACTGGTGTGGAGGTAATGATAAACTGGGCTCAACGGCAGAGACGGACCACGTCAGCCCTCTCATCAACAAACACCTGGAGCAGAAAGAAGCCTTTCTCAAGGTACACCTCTCTCTCATACACACGTACACGAACACACAGTCAGACTCAAACACCTGCAACAGAAGCTCTTCAGCTTTCTCACCAATTTGTCCTTTTTATATTTTTTAAAAACTGCATCTGCAGCAAAACAAAACATTTTGCCATATGTGACCACATATGTGTCAGTTTAAATGGGTCATAGCATGGAAAAAAAGGATTTCCTTTTGAAATAAAGAAACCGTGAACAAAAATTATTAGTGTCATTAGCAATGTCACTGTCCATCTTACATCAAACTCCAGCTGCTATCAATATGGTCAATGATGATGTCACTGTGCAGTTGTTTAGATGCACTGGTTCTACAAAATGTTTAATTTCTCTGGTTTTAGGCATGTACTTTAGCACGTCGTAACGCGGAGGTCTTTCTTAAGTACATCCATCGAAACAATGTGAGCATGCCTGGGGTCGCCACCCACAATCGATCCACTGAGTCCCAAGTAAAAGGTCAGTTCAGGTCTACTTAAAGACATTATACCAGCAAAATATACTGTCTGTCTGTATGTCATTGTGTCTGAATCTTTGTATTTGTTTATCGATCTTGTCTTGTGTCGTCTTATATTTAGCCATTCTGAGTGAGCTGCTACAGAGGGAAAACCGTGTCCTTCATTTCTGGACTATGAAAAAAAGACGTTTAGATCAATGCCAACAGTACGTTCTGTTTGAACGACATGCTAAACAGGTGAGTGAGAGAGCTTTATCCAAGCACAGTTTTTGAAGGATTCGATAATGATGGTGGTTTTGATTTTGTCTTCCCTTGTGAAAAAGAACTTCACTTTAGAATACATTTAAAAAGAGAATTTATTACAGAAATAAAAGAACATACTTAAGTGTGAACTGGATGTCATGTTTTCAGACACTTAATTGCATGTTAATTGCAATTAAATGAACATTTTATAAATAGTTTAAATTTATATTAAAAGCAAATATCTGAACCTTAGAGTGTTTTTTGACCCACTTGAGTAGGACTAAATTACATCTTTATATGTAATTTCATAATTACTTCTATTGTCTTTGAAATATGGTCAGAGAGTACTGCCAAATATACTGAAAAGCATTTATGGTAAACTAAAATATTATCATAATTTCTGCTTAAACTTTTATGTCATTTATTAAAATATAATTGTAATTACACATTTGTAATGAGGAAGTTGCAATTTAGTAAAACATTTAAAAAATGTAATACAATTATAATCATGTGCATTAGTATGTTAGTCAACAAAACAAAATAAATGCACTTCTTTAAAGTACCTCATAATCTCTAAACAGGAGATTATGAAAAATAATGATTTAAAATGTACTTTAATGTAAAACGTTTAATTTGACTTTACAAAGTTAATTTTTTAAGTGTTTATGAAACATAGTCATGTTAAAAACATAGTCAGGAAAGTGTACTCTTGCAGTACTCTTTCAGTTGCCTTTTATTTCATTAAAATATACTTGTAAGATTTTAAACAAGTGCAAAGTGCACATTCAATACAATTAAGTGCATTTCTTTTTCACAAAAGGCAACTACTAACACAAGATAGTTGAACTACAAGTGCACATTCAATACAATTAAGTGCATTTCTTTTTCACAAAAGGCAACTACTAACACATAATTAGAGATAGTTGACATAGTTGCAAAGTTATTTATAGTTAGTAGAATGTCTAAAATGGATTATCGAAATAAAGTGTAACTAAACTTGAACTATTTCCCCACTAGCATTTGGGATAATTTTCACAAAACTTTCATGGTTCCCAGAATATCTTGCTGTATGAATATCTGAACATGCAATATGTCTAAATAATAACTCTCTGCTTAAAAAAACAAAACAAACAACAACAACAACAACAAAACATTTTATTGTATGAACACCTTGCATGCAAGTTTCATATAAAAAGCACTGTTTTGAGAAGAAAAAAAAAAAGCTTAGAAAACTGTGTTTTTGTCAAAGACTGCATCCACATCGGATTCAAATCAATGGAAAATTCTTGTCAATGGCGGGGAAAGAGTTAAAAATAATGAAAGATTCTCAAACACTCCCACTGTGAACAAACAGGTAGTCCTGCACTCAAACAAACAAAGCAATATTTAATATTGAATGTTGAAAGCAACTCAGAAAATCAGTCTACCAGTGGCTTATTTGTAGTTGACTCTATAGTATATCACTTACAAATACTTACAGTTAAAACAAAAATTACTCAGACACCAGATATCATTTTTTATATTTTGCAGGACACTACAGTTCATTTATGTAAGTGAGGATAGCAAAATAAAGTAAACTGTGACATATTATATCCAAAAACATTTCATACAGTGGACTACCAGTACAATTTATAAAACTTTGGGACCAAAAATTATTCAGACACTTTGACCTGACCATGTTTTGCTTAAGCATTTTTTTTATTATTATTTAATTGTTAATGTGAGCTGTTTTTTCCACCACAGACTGAACAATATTAGGCATTGCTTGGTAATTGGTTGAGCTAAATTGGTATTATTTAATTGTGTGCTTATATTTAACCGCTGAATTCATTACATACCTTTCTATCAAAGTTATCTGACATTATCAAGATGAATTTGTTCTGACACAGTTTAACTCTGAGTTCTTGTCATATTTTATTACCATTTTCTAAACTATAGCGAGTAAACTGTGATAAAGTGAGAAATGTTGAAGGTGTCTGAATACATTTTGATTTGACTGTACTTTGCATTTGTTCAGTTCTCCGTCATGACTGACCCTGCGTCCCAATGTGTCCACCCTATCTGCCCTGAAAAGTATTGCAAATTACTAACATCACATAGAATTTAGGATGGATAGTATGCACATTGGCTGTGTCTCTGTAGCATGCCAACTTAGCTCCAGTAAGCAAAGCTGTATTGTTTCACATGTACTGCTCTTCAGCAGTCTTCTCTACCAAAGTGTCAAGAGCACTTCCTGTTCAAGACACCTCCGATGCCAGCACACATCATCATGTCATTAAATGACCCTCACCCTTTGCACTCCATACACTGACTACACACCCTGCTCTTCCTGCTGTCCAGCAGCTGGCTCTGGGGCCCAGGACGGTGCTCCATTTGGTGGTAATCAGGTGGAGAGCAGGAGCTGCACATCCTGTTCACTCCTCCCGATTAGCACCAGTGAACTCCAACAAATTTGCCAACCCCAGATGGTTGACTGGAGGCGTGATGAATGCACTTGTGTTCTGTAAGTGCCAGACCCAGGCCTGCTCTTCTTTGTGTTACCTGATCTTTGAGGGTAAGGAGAAATCAAGCAGAAATGTGGTAACGAGAGGGCGAAGCAGCTAGGAAAGTAACAGCATCCAGGCCACATCACTCTCTCAGCATTTCTGAATTATGGCATTCCAGGCTCTATTTATATTCATGAGCAGGCATGGAAGCGGACTGGCTCTCATTCCACAGCTTCAAGTTCCCTAGACGTACTTCCAGGAATCCCTGCCATTCCCATGCAGTGTTACCGGCTCTGTTTATCCTGATCAAGGATAGGGCCCACACATCCACAGATGCTTTTCTAGCAGGCATTGGGCTAATAGCCCAGCATAAAGCTTGTAGTTCTCATTCTCAGTTAAACACACTAAAGCCAACTCTACCTTTGCAAGTGTGTGAAGTGCATGTGTAAAAGAGGAAATGAGTAAAAGAAGAATCATAGATAACCCTCTAGTGCTGTTCGGTCATATTTGACCTTAAAATTTTATGTTGGTTTTTACTTCATCAGAATGTTATGAAACGTGGTTTAGGTTTTGGAACTTGCTATATGAACATGATGCAAAAAAATAAAAATAAAAAATGAAAGTTACACTTGTACTGTCTGCAGTCAAAAATGATGCATTGGAAATTAATAGGAAGCAAATTTCATCTGGTGCTGTGCTTAAAATCTTCATGAAAGTGTTTTTTTTTTTTTTTTTTTTTGAGATATCAACCTCAATTTTGAAATGCAGCTTGTTTAGATTTATGGCTTTGATTTTAATGCACCTTATGCAATATATTGAATCAATTATTTATTTATTTTTTTTAGTTTCACTTTTTTTATATAAATTGCAATAAAAACTGGTAATAAATGGATTATAACTATTCCATTAATATAATCTAGTACCATAAAATACAAATATTAGAAAATAATAAATTAACTATTAAAATTAAAATCATTATCAAACTAAAATATAGTACATTTATGTCATTAAAATAAAAAAAGTTCATTTTTGACTGTCACACAAACAGCACGGGCTAAAGATCATCTGCACATTTTATTCAGTGGACAGGAATAGTATTGCAGCGTAGGGAATAACCTTACAGAACATAACAGCTGTGAAGGTGACTCTGTTTTGAGACAAGTCAGGCATCATACACTAAACAACTGAGGATCAGACACTTTTTAGCAGACTTTCTAACCTAAAACAGGCAAGAGTGGAAAATTATCAGCAAAAAATCATTTCATGTCACTTTTTATATAATTTGGAATTAAGTAAAACATATTCAAAATAAGTTTTGTAATATTTTATATATTTTGGATTTTATGAGTTGTATCTCCCAGGATATACATTGCCCATTTAGGGTATAAAAACAGCCCAAGTCATCAATAATTCCATGATTTATTTGATGCAAACAACTATGGAATATTCCAAATATGCTGCATGTATGACACATCTAAGTGTCCTCATCTAATTGAGGCATAGACATTTATTGTATTTTTACATTTGTACCTGTCTCATCTTTATCCTCAGAGGTGGGCAATTCCAACCCTTGAGGTCCGCTGTCCTGCACAGTTTAGCACCATCCATAAACAATCATATAATGTAATTTATTGAACAAAATATAATTTTTTATGTAATCCTGAAGACTTTTGTCAGATTTTTCAGATGTGTTTGATCAGGGTTGGAGCTAAACGCTGCAGGCTGGTGGCCCTCTAGAAGCAGGGTTGGACACCACTGTTCTACCATAAAATGAGCTGTGTGGAACCCAGAAAGAGAAAAATCTAGTTAAAAATGCAAAGATGTAGTCAACTAAATGTAATATTATCCGTTTTGCATGCAAATATTAACATTTGCACAATTTTTACACTCAAAATAAATAAAAAGGGGACTGTGTACAGGGGGCCTAGAGGCCAGGAAGGCCTATAAGGCTCTTCCCTAAGGGCCCCTGGCCGTGGCACTGGAATGTGATTACAACCCCCCCGCCCCCCCTTGTGACACCATTCATTGTCAATATTGAGGATAATCCTTGTTTATACCCTAATCAGGCAACGTATCTCAGGAGATGAACAACACGAACAACACATGACTTAATTTTCTTTTTCAACATCTCAAGACAATGTTCACACTTAACACTAATAGTTGTATTGCATTTTTTGCTGAAAAAAGTAAGATTAATATATGCCTACTTTCTACATTTTCTGAATGTCCAGCCCCATGGGCGGACGTGTTGGCTTTAGGTCAAACTGACAAAACGCGCACAGACAATTTGAACCAAGTGATGTGACCCCCATACTCCAAACAAGCTCAACTATGATAATGATGAGAAAAAGGATGAAAAATTCTTCCTCGTGCCTCCTACAAGAGATTAAAGTATATGTATCCCGTGGTACATGTTGCCTGTTTTAGGGTTAAATCACTCCAAAAAATAAAAATAAAAGAGAGAGAGAGTCTGTGCCCATTATATACTATGTGTTTTTTCTGTGAAGTCTGTCAACTCTGACTGGCCAAAATCAAACTGGCTGTGATTTTTGGCAATTAGCATCAACTCATCCAGACTGCAAAACGGGGCAGTAATCTGTGCAATAGTCATGTAGTGTATTGCAGTCTTTAGTCAAGAGCCTTCAACACCATCTGAGGAACCCGGCAACCTTCTGGTAATAGCCCAGATCTTAAATCACTAGTCTGCATGAACTCCACTGAACTAGAGCCTGGCACATGCAGATGCTCAGTTATACATGGACAATGAAGGTTGATCAAGTTATCCTAAGTTATAAAGAGTTTCTGGAATTGAAAATTAAAAATTGCATGACAGTAATTGCAAACAGTAATGCTTGCTCACCCACTTTGTTTGCTGGTATTTGATAACCAGTTGCAGAACAATTGAACAGATGTTCAGTTAAAGCCAATATGTTTGTTCTGTTAATACATCTATGCAGGTTTCCACATTTCCACATTCAGTCCTTATGTCCAGTTCATTTCAATCAACTCTTTGAATAGTTTTTGCATGTTGTCTGGATTTGACAATGTTAGTGTATTTGGTCTCTATTGGACTAGATATGCTGTGCTGCTGCAGAACAATTATGAATCTGAACAAAATATACACAGAAACGCTGCTGTGAGCATGTAAGATATGCTGCTGCTGCATGAATAGGTTTAAATAGACAGGTGGTGCTGGGGGAGGTGGAGGGTTTCGGAGGAACTAGTGCACTGCAGGACCAACTTACAGTGATCACTGAACCAGACTATGTAAATGTTGAACAAGCAATAACATAATCAGCAGAGGCCAATCAGCCTGTGCCATGTAGTAAATGATGTGATTGTCAGCAGATTGCATGTAAAGGACTGATCAGTCTGCGCCATCTAAAGTTTCATGACTGGTCTAGATATTTAATCTAAGCTGAGAATACATTTGAGGATGCTTTTTGTTTTCACCCTTGTGCTGTTTGAACCATTATGAACAACCTTCGGTTTGCCTGATGGCTAAAAACGTCACATGGGGCAAGCCATTATTTACTTACAATTAACTGGGGTGCACTTGACACTGCATTAATTTCCAGGAACAATGTGGTAAGACTGTGAGAGGTACACTTATTCAGAATAACACTCAAACTGCCATTACACCATTACACATTTTGTCTCCCTCATCTAACACACCTGACTGAATTCACTAGTTCATTATGAGAGACTGTGAGATCTCGATTGGGTGTGTCCGATAAAGGAGATCTCTGAAATATGCAGTGCTGGAGATGCTTGAGAAGCACTAGGTTAGGGTTATTATTGTTTGACAGGAATCTTGTTCCAGGACCAGCACAAGATGTTGATCCAGGAGCACATGCTACATGTGTTCAGTGTGATTATTACACATAAAGACTAACGCTCACACTCTGCAGCTTAATATTTGACACATTCCTGATGTCCGTGTGCCAGGATGTGTCTCGGTGTGTCAGGATGTGGAGCGAGAGTTGCACTCTTCCTTCCTGACTGATGAGCAGACACATATGGGGAAAAATAGGCTCATCCATCTACTATGACACAGAAGCACCCTAGGGAACCCACCACACCCTCTCCTTATCGCTCTTCTGTAAGAATGTGGCATGCTTCTGAGAACTTAATGGTGAGATTACTTCACCTGCAGGATCTACGGTATGCATGCAATATCTCATATTCTGAGAATTCAGTAGAACAGTCCATATGCATTTATAACTATACAATGTAAAGGTCCCATTTACCACTGTTGTGTTGATTTCTGCAGCTGAACATTTCCGTTTGCATATTTCGCATTGGGTTAAAGTTGGTTGCCGCATTGGTTTGTAAGTGACTTCTGCGTGACTTGTGTTTTATGCATCACTACACTTGCCAATGGACTTTTTGTCGCCATATAATTTTGCCAAAAACGACAATGTGACGGTTCCCTTTGTTTGTTTTGGGAGCTTTGTGACCGGTGGCTCCGCCTACAACTTACTGCAATCTGCAGTCCATTGGCCGCACCTGTCGCTGTGGTTCAGACGCTCCTCCAAAAGAGATTGCTAATCGAGCCAGAATGGGGACTTGGGACATTGTTTGCAATGTGTTTGGTTTGAGATTGTATCGAGCATTTTTACAACACTACAACAGCACATTACACATTCAGCCAGGCACCACGCATTACACACTAATACTGTAAACCTTTGAGTTATTTGGTTGATGATTTTTAAATGTAAAATGACCGCCATTTGATTGTTGGGTCACACTTTTAGGTCCAATTCTCAATATTAATTAACTATTAACCATGCCATTTGCCTCAATAAACTTCTAATTACTGCTTATTAATAAGGTAGTTGTTAAGTTTACGTATGGGGTGGGTTAAGGGATAGAATATGGTCATTCAGAATGAGGCATTAATATGTGCTTTATACGTGCTTATACACAGCCAATATGCTAGTAATATGCATGCTAATAAACAACTAGTTAATAGTGAGAATTGGTCCCTAAATTAAAGTGTTACCAATTGTTGTTTTTCATGGTGCACAGATGAATGTAATTTCAGCAACTTTTCAGTAAAACTGCATCCTTTTTAAAGTGAAATTACCACATTTAATGCATGTTCCTGGTCTTATTATGCACAATTCACTGATGTTATCTGAAATTATTTTATTCTTATTTTTCACCCACTCCCATCCAACCACCTAACACACAGAGACACTTTTCAAATTTCAGTAAATTCCATACAACATTGTTTTCCCTCATCAAATATCCTGTTTCACTTAGAAAAAAAGTCACATTATGTAAGTCCAGTAAAAAAAAAA